ACAATGACACCCGAAGTGTGTTTCTTATGTCCAGTTTATTCCGTTGTTCCGTCGTCCATTAAAAATCGCACAAATCCGAGGAAATACCACAGTAAATAAAATGGAAATAATTTAATGTTCCTTGGGTGGCCCAGTATCATTTGATCCACAGACCGGTACCGGCCCGCAGCCCGGGGGTTGGGGACCACTGTGCTAGACAACTAAGACTTGATGACTGTAAGCAAAATGGGACAAATCACTGAGGGGGAGTGTTAAATTTCTCTCCTGTCATTACCTATATGTATGGCGATGATTTGTGTTATATGTCCTTTGTTTGTATTTTTTATTTTTCTAATGAATAAACAGCCATGTGTGGCATCTCTATCGAGCCCGCCACTTTTTGGTTCAGTGTGACTTTGAAACCGATCAAGGTAGTCGTGTATGATTTATACTTGTAAGGTATCCTAGTCTCCATCTGTACTCATAAATGCATAAGTGATATATTTAACATGAACTATTTAGAATATTCAAATTTTATTACTGTTATGTGATAACATTTCTGTGTCTTGATGTCTCCTAATGTGAATTTTACTATGGAAATGTTGCAAATTGGCAATCTGAATGTTTGTTTTAATTAATATTTATATTTTATAAGTCAGCTTTTGTCAAATCAGTTAGTTTTATGAGTAAATAGAACTGAAAGAGAATAATTACAGAATATTAACAGATAGACTCATCTATTACAGTTTAACCTGCTTATAACGTCATCCATGAGACCGGCAATTTTTTGACGTTATAATCGAGTGTCGTTATCTGCGGGGTCATAATTTCAGTCCCATAAAAGTATCAAGTCTGTTTAAGAATCTATTATAAAATTCATCTAATTTAATATCGTATGTATAAAAGTGCAAACTAAATATTTAAATCAACTTTATTTACATTATTATGTCTAAATTTACAACAATGTAATTAAAAATTTCAAAAAAGTCAGTTATTTTAGATTGTAGGCATTTTTCACCTAAAATTCATTTATCAATGTCATTTTCTAAGTCGTAGATTTTGTTTATTATTTCCGATGAAGTTTTACGAGACCTGTAGAATTTGCTAAACCAAAGTCTCTGCATAATCTTTTTTCTTCCACTTTTAACTGCTTTAATTATTTCTACTTTGCAGTCTAATGTTAACGCTTTCCTTTTTAAGCTAGNAACCCACTTGTAACGACATAAAACCCTGTTTTAACGTCATATTTGAAGCACTCTTAAATTTACAAAATTAAATTATAAATTTTATTTATCAAAGAAAATACTACGTGTTCAGTCTTAGGGTCAGAGTCCCTAAGACTGAACACGTAGTATTTTCTTTGATAAATAAAATTTATAATTTAATTTTGTAAATTTAAGAGTGCTTCAAATATGACGTTAAAACAGGGTTTTATGTCGTTACAAGTGGGTTTTTTAACATTATCTAGTATAGTAAAATCTTGGGACCGATAAAAATTTGACGCTATATTAGGGTTGTCATTACATCCGGTGTCATTATAATCGGGTTAAACTGTATTTTGTAACACTTTAAAAGTTAAATTTTAATTTATATTTTAATAATTTATTAAATATTTTATAATTAGAAAAACCTTATGTGAACTAAGTGTTGATGAATTTATGGAGAAAGGATTTTCTTCAGATGATGATGAATTTGAAGAAGATTTACAAATCAGTACAGAAGAAAAAAGTCAAAATCAGAAAAATGTTAAATTAAAACTTTCACAGAAAAAATCTAAAATTAAAAAAGTAAAGAAAAATACAAAACAGGAAATTGATGTTTTAAATAATGATGCAGAAGAATCATCCTCTACTAAAATGAAAAGAAAAAAATTCAAAAAGATAAAATAAATAAATCCCTTTCCAAGAAAAAGAAATTGACTAAAGTTATCAATGAAGAAAGTGATGAAACAGTTGAAAACAAAGATGAAATTTTTCAAGAAAATGATATAGTTGATGAAGAAAGGAAAAATCTTCAAGAGGATGATGACTCTAGGTAATTTTAACTTATAATTTACAATTGTTTTCTGAAAGTTAGTATGTAATAATCTATATTATATAACATGTTGCCAACTCCAAAACTTTGGGTCACTTCATATGTACATTTGAATCTACTATAATGGATTAGGATTCTGTAACCCCTGATACTCTCTGAGGATCAACATTTTCCTTATCATTGCATAATAATTGGTATACAATTTTATTAACCTAAAACACATAAGAACCTTAGAATTCTGTGAAATCTGCAAAGTTTCCAAGGATGGTGATTGTGTAAATACACAAGAATGTGAAACATTTTCAGCTGCAAGGCAAATATTTTATGTAAACATATGAGTAGACTAGGATCAGCATATATCAGTTATTAAGATTTTGTTGGGCCTTGCTATGATATTCTTCAAAATCAATAGTGATTGGGCATTTGGATTTTAAAATATATGTCATCAAACATTCTGTGCTTGTTTCATTATTTGAAGAATTCTGACCTGTTACAGAACCTTAATGCATTCCATTTGTAAAGTTTAGAATTTTGTGTTTGAACTGAAGCAGACTATCAAATTAGTCAAAAATGTTCATCAGACACATCTATTACTGTAAGAGTGCTTAGGTTAGCCTAGTACATATAGTGTTAAGTTTTAGCTTTAAGAAATTTTATTTTGGTAAGGAGTTTCCAAATAATTCCAATTTTCCTTAGATATAGGATCAAGATTTTTTAAGTACAGTATAACCTTTGAATAGCAGACACTATTGGGACTGAGAAGTTTGTCTGCTATTCACAGATACTTGCTGGCAGCCATATTGTATTTTAACCTGATCATTATAATGAATACTATGGATTACAAAAACATCAAATTTGCATTAGGAATATGAAAATATCAAAATGTATATGTAGAATATATAATTAAAATAAAATATATACAAGTATACCTTGAGTTACGTCATTCTCGATTATACTTCATTTGTCAAAAAAATATGGAAAAATAAAAATCAAGTTTAAGTCATTTTATTTGACTTCAAGTCCATCTGCCACAAATATTGAAGTTGTAATATCACTAGAAAAGCGTTAAAGCACATAAAATCATATTAAAATATATGCATTTACAGTAAATGTTAATATAATCATCATAAATCCTAGAGAACGAAACATGAAAACATCTGTGAATGTGTTGTTGTCTTATTTACTGGTCTTTAAGTGCTCAATATTGGTGTTTTCAATGGTAGTTCCAATATCTATTGTTTGGCATCGTTGTCAGCGCCACTCGATATTGGTAATTTAATATAAATTAGTTTATTTTCTACTGTTGCCAGATAATTTTAATAACTGTATTTGTTATTTAACCTTACAAAATCATCATATTTTATAATGTCTTAGAGCAAACCACATTCACAAATAAAGAGTCTGTGATGTACTGTAAACATCGCCAAATTGTAAATATGTACGTTTACAAGTATGTACTGTACATGAATTCGTAAATTTAGATTACTTTTTTCTGTGCTATATTAAAAAATAAAATTTATTTGTTTGTAAGCTTAAAATAGATTCTTATTAACAATATATTATTAAATATGCATTTATAAATAAAATACAGAACTGGAAATGGTTATTTGTGGTTTAGCCTAGTGACAAGTAAATTCGACTTACGTCATTTTTCAACTTAAGTTGCCTCTCCTGGAACCAATTACTGACGTAAGGCAAGGTATACCTGTATACAGTATTTATTTTTTCACTGTAGAAATCACATTTTAATTGAACTCTAAATAGCAAATAGATTGTATAGGATATTTTAATTAAATGGAACATAAAAATTATGACTAAACACAAACATTGATTAATTATTAATTCATCAAAACTGACCTGAGTGAAAGTAATGAAGAAGAAAAATGAAACTGTTATGAACAAAAGGGTTTAGGTAATGAGAGTCCGAATGTCAAGTTACAAAGGCAATTTGCTAGCCACTTCAAGAAATAAGAAATGTGTTTGGTATTTTTGCATTTATAATGTCATTTATGATTTAAGCAACTAATAAAAATTAATATAGTGATTCATCTGCTTTGTATTGATAGTTACCAAGTAGGTGTAATTTTTCAAACATTTTTGCATTTTTCAATAAATGATTTATTAAAAACTATTTTACCCACCACAAACTGTTAAGATCATAAATTCGAGAAAATTGAATATCTTCTTACAGTTTAAAGTGGTCGACAAATTGTCTTTGTAACATGATCTTTAAACTTTCATCAAATAAATGCTGTTGTCTTTAACCTTAAAACTGTTTTCTTTTTCATTACTACTGTACTACAGTTCTTGTTGTATGAATGAATAACTTCGGAAAGTCTATGATTTCTTGGTACCAAAAGCTTAATTCCAACAATAAGACAGAAGTTTAATAATATTAGTATATGTGATGATAAATGGTGATTGACAACTTAAGTAGATTAGTCTTCTCTAACAAATAAGGAATATTGTTTGGTTTTTACAACCTGCCCTCTCCCTTATTCCTATTTTTAACTAGTTTTTATTCCATGCATATGGCCAAAATTCTTCCTTTGAAAGAGTATTTGAACTGATTCTTTGTTTTAGTTTTAAAATATTTTGTATGCAATTAATTCTTTCAGAATATTGAAGACAGGACTTTATGTTTTTGTAAGGTAGGTTATGGACAACGACATCTTTTATTTAAAAGTAAATATTATAGATGTCCTGTTTGAAAGGTCTGGGAATTGTAAAAATGTCTGTTAAGTAGAGGTATCTGCTAGTTGGTAGTGTTTGTTAATGGAATTTTTACTGTAAATACATAATTATTATTAATAATAATATAAAATAAAAATAAATTTTTTATTAACTATTTTTTTTGTAAAAAATTATGTTTTCTGATATAATTTAAAAAAAAATAAATCTATAATAATGTAGAATTTAGTTATAAAAATTTAATTATTAAAATATATGAAGTACTTTTTAACTATTTATATATTATCTTAAAACAGTGAATCGGATGATGAATCATTAGGATTTGAAATGGGAAAATTAAAAGAAAAGGATCCAGAATTTTATAAATTTTTGGAAGAAAATGACAAGGAATTATTAAATTTTGATGTGTCTGATGATGAGGATTTTGAAGATGATGATGAAAAGGTAATTCAAAAAATATGTTTTGTTAGGTGTTATATTGTTTCCACAGACTTCCAATGTCAGTTGACAGATTGATAATTCCTTTGAATATTTGGTGTAAATACTTTAAAGATTTTTCAATGATATACTTCAATGATATACAAAATGATATACTTTTGGCTGTTGAAATTTTATAAACTTAGATTAAATAGTAAAATTCTCAATTCATGATTTCTATGTTTCTCTACCATCTCTTTATCATTAATATCACTAGAAAAGCGTTAAAGCACATAAAATCATATTAAAATATATCCATTTACAAGTATGTACTGTATTTACAGTACATGCATTCGTAAATTTAGATTACTTTTTTCTGTACTATATTAAAAACTAAAATTTATTTGTTTGTANACTTTTTAACTATTTATATATTATCTTAAAACAGTGAATCGGATGATGAATCATTAGGATTTGAAATGGGAAAATTAAAAGAAAAGGATCCAGAATTTTATAAATTTTTGGAAGAAAATGACAAGGAATTATTAAATTTTGATGTGTCTGATGATGAGGATTTTGAAGATGATGATGAAAAGGTAATTCAAAAAATATGTTTTGTTAGGTGTTATATTGTTTCCACAGACTTCCAATGTCAGTTGACAGATTGATAATTCCTTTGAATATTTGGTGTAAATACTTTAAAGATTTTTCAATGATATACTTCAATGATATACAAAATGATATACTTTTGGCTGTTGAAATTTTATAAACTTAGATTAAATAGTAAAATTCTCAATTCATGATTTCTATGTTTCTCTACCATCTCTTTATCATTGTGTAAAATGACAGGTAGATTAATTCCCTTATTAAGAAATGACTAAGAACAGAAATCCATATATATATATATATATATGCATTTGAATGATGCATGTAAAAATTCCAAAATTAGAGATGAAGGATTGTTCTGGACTATTCCTTAAATGGTAGTATTATTAGGGATGAAAACAGATAAAGAATACCAAGAAAGTCTAGCAACAACATTGCCAGCTTTATTATTATTATTTATTATAATTTTTGATCTAATGTATTATTACTAATAATGTTACTTTAAAAGAATTACTAAAAGTAAATTTTCTTTTTCCTTAAATAATTTTTATTTCTTTTAATAATAATTTAAATCTTATACCATGTTTCAATTCTTGCATATGTGAAAATTTCCATGTGGCACTATCTAAGAATGTTAATATAACTGGTATTTTTTTAAAATTTTAATCATGTAAGTAATAATAAGTAATGACTAAAATTATTATCAAATAATGTTTTTTAGTAAATCATTCTTTCAATCACCATAACAGTGTATTTCTATTAATAGGACTTATCATACTGGTGTATAAGATTACAGCAACACAGTCACACAGATTAAAATTGTTTTATTTACTATTACCTGTAATAGTAAATAAAACAATTTTGGTGATTGAAAGAATGATTTGTTTAAATTAAGGACATTGATGCATATTAATTAATGTTTATTAGTTTTTATTTTAAACAAAGTAATTTTTATTTTACATCTATGTTTGAATAATTTATTCCTTTTCAATATTATAGCTTCTCTTTATTTTAAATTAATTACACTTTATTATTTAGATGGAGACAGAAGATTTTGATGATGAAGAAAATGACTCTATAGCAGATAAAAAAATAAACAAGAAGCTTTTAGAACAATGGAAAACAGAACTGAAGGTAATAATATATTTATTCAGTAGAAAAGATTTCACAATAGAGATTGTTATACAGTACTTTTATAATACTTTTAGGCAACATATAAACAAGTATTATTAGAACAAATTTTTATTTATTGGGATATCTTGAAGGTGATAAGAAAATCAGTTTTTGAAAAATGAGTTACTTCACATAAATGAACAATTGAAATAAATTACAATTAGAGATTAAGGATTGTTCTGGACTATTCAATTGTTTTTTGCTTTAAATGAAATGTATAAAAACATTCCATTTAAAGCAAAAAATAATTGTAGATTTAATTTCATGTATTAAAACAAATCACTTATAAAATAAGATATTTACAAGTAAATAAATATGTATGATATAATGATATAAATCATTTATTGAACTTAAAAAGATATATGGCTTCATAAGAAACTACTATAATTATTTATTTATGTATATGTTAGTAATGCCAAAAGGCAAGTGATAACTACTTCCAATAAGAGAAAACACAAAATGCAAAAACTCAATGAAAATACAAAGAAATAGTATACAGTAATATATTTTTACATAAAGATTTAAAATGTTTAAAATCAAAAATCTAAATTCACAATGTCTAATATAGTAGAGTATTGAAAAAAATCTTTTCGATACAGATAACCTAAACATAAGAAGAGCACATGAAGTGTTTGTAATAATTCTGTTAGGCACTCTTAATGCAAAGAAATCAATTGAAGAAAGCATTAAAATATTTGTATAATAAAATTATTAAAATATTTAAAAAATTACAAAAGTATGATATCACAATGATTAAATTTTAAAATTACAAAAAGTCATTACTGTAATTTTCAGTAAATATATTAATATTTTAAAAAAAATATTGGTATTTTGCATTATTTTTCGATAAACAGAAATTTCTGTATATTTTAAAGTAATTAAAAAATTAAAAATTAATAAATCAAACAATCACCATAATTAATTGGGCTATTTTTCACTACTGATTAATTTTGGCAATTGTTTGGTTTATTGTTATTACATTGGGCTTAGAAATTTTTAATTATATGTTAAAAATTAAAGCTTAAAAGAATATCTTATAGTATGTAAAAGAAACAGTTTTTGAATTCTTTGAATAATACAAAGAAATACAGTAATATATTCTAATATTAAATACACATTATAATATTTATCTCCTTCACAATTTAAAAATCATGTTTGAAAATGAAACAACTGATTGAATAGCTACATAATAACAAAAATTCAGTTTTAATTTTGTTTAATGTAATATTATATCTATCTATCTATCTATCTATCTATATGTTACTGTGAAAGATCGAAATTAGAGAATGTCGATATTCTCCGGTGAATGTCGACACATACAAAATACGTCGGTGAAAGACCGAATATTTTGGTATATTATTATACATTCGAACAATCGCCGGTGTATGTCGACAAGCACAGATAAGCTTTGGTGGAGGTCGAAACGACACCCAAGAAGCCGATGTGGACGGAAAGGCGACAGTCTGTCGCCAAATTCTTCGCTGTTTCCTTCTGCTCAAATTGGTGATACCGTACGAATACAAGTCCCTGATGTTGACCGTGGCCGTATAGATGCCCGAAATGTGTTGGCAGTTGTTGTTAGAATAGAAGACTGACTTTTATAAATTAGCAAACAAAAATGATTCCCTCAAGCAGCTTTATACCCGTAATCAGTTCGTAATTTGTAAAGAAAATTTTCCATAGGTAAGATTTCTTCTCAAGAAATATCGCTGAGAGAAGCAGCTGCAGCTAATTCGAAAAGTGGAGGGCAAGGCTATACACGCTGTCATTGCAAAAAAAAAGTGTTCCACGAATAAATGCAGTTGTAAAAGCAAGGGACTCTTGTGCAATTCAAAATGCCATAACAGTTTAAGTTGTTGCAATAAATAAGATTGTATAATGTTAATCACATAATTTATGTGTAAGTTTATTATTGTATTATTTTCTTTAATGATTTAGAATGTACTGTTCGTTTTAGGTTCAACAGTTTATTTACATGTGCTGTTACTTAAGCTTTCTCCTATTTTGACATATTAAAAAGTTGCATTTTTGTCTTGACGTAATAAAAATATTTTTATTCAACATTCACCATCAGCGCATTCTGAATGTTGACATTTGCCGGTGTAAGTGAGAAATAACGATATTTAGCAAATATTTCGGACATACACGAAACGACTGTGTGAATGTTGACATTCACCGGAGAATGTTGACATTCGCCAGATTTCGGTCATTCACAGTAACATATATATTAATTAAAACAGGGGCTTTAGTTTTCTGACTTAGCTTGAGTAAAGGATTAGGGCTAAAATTATGGTTTAGGTAGCAAATTAAAGCTGTTATCCTGTAGATAATGCTGCTAAAGAGAGATTTGAGAAAGGTGTAATGGTTTAGCCATGACAGAGTGGAAAAGGCACAATGTGAAGTCTTCAGAACAAATATGTTGTGTGATGTAAAACCTGTTGCAATCCCTACAGCTTTTCTTGCAACCCACACTGTGGGAACTGTGGCTTTAGAATATAAAGGAACAAATAAATTATTTTAAACAAAAGAGAAAAAATCATCACGTGACCAAAAGCTGAACAGAATAACTAATACTCTCAAACTTCAACGAAAGTATAAAGGTAAATTATTCTTTAAATTTGTGTATAAATTGCTAGCAGAGTAAATTAAGTGTGAATTAGAATGATAACTCCCTACAAAATAATTTTATTTTAAACTAGCAGTCCCAGCCATGTGCTGCTGTTGCTCAAAATGTATCTATTATAAATGTATAACACTTCCCCCACAGGGGAAAATTTCAAAAAATACCTTCTTAGTGTACATTCTCTTGATGTATCCTATTAAAACGCAATCAAAAACACAAAAAAACCTCATCTAAAATAGTATAATAGAAGCCGAGTTCTTCACGGTAAGCCTTAATCCTGTCCCTCTCCCCTGTGGGGGAATTTTGACATCTAAATTATATAAAAACATCCATGAATTTGAATGCAACATTGTATCAGAATTTCAAAGCAATCAGTGAAGAACTTTTGGAGATTTAAGATTTTGAACAAACAAACATTACATTTTTATTTATATAGATTAATTCCTTTTTAAACATCAAATTACCTTTAAAAATATTACCTTTAAAATTAATTCTAATATTTTTCTGATTAAAATGTATGTGGTAGTATCCCCGCTCTTACCACATACAGTAGAACCTAGATTATCCGGACTAATTGGGGATGAAGGTAGTCTGGATAAGGAAAAATTCGGATAATCGAAACAAATACTTTAATTTGTCTTTTAATGATAATACAACACATTTTCTTTTCGATGACATATTGGTAATATTAAAAATAAATACTGTATTTAAATCAGTGATCAAATTTTCAAGAAACAAATGTTTGTATTGAATTTGGTAACAGACTACCTATTGTTTAAACGGCCCTCTGGTGGCGCAAGAAGATGGATTTTATAAAATAAAAAGCAGTTGAAACTCCATTTTTATAAATAAAAATTTGACAAACTATTTATCGTTTTATGATGAGTAAAATTTTTTGGTCGCATTCACGGCTTTTAAGTAATGCATAAACCTCCGAGGCACGAGGCCCTTCGGACCACGAGGCATAGGCGGTGGCCCACATCGTTCATGCCTTATGCCACCCTTGGTCGTAGAAATGATGTAATTTGAATATAAATTATTTATAAATACGTATGTCAAGTTAAATATATTTTACGTCGTAATAAAAATATAAGAGTTTACGACCACTGTGCTGGGTGAGACACTGTTGAAACAAAAAAAGTTATGCATTCCATCATGTACATAAACAGTGTTGTAATTCGCCAAGTGCAAATCAGCAAATTCGTAAAATTTTTGTTTATTTTGAACAATCTGGATAATCGAAAATCTGGATAATAGCGGTTCTACTGTAGTTGGATTGTGAGAAAATGTCATTAAGAGAGTGCATCACCTGTAAGCTTAATGTCTTGAATCGAAGTTTCGTTCTCAGAAATGTCTCTTGAACTATATGGCAATAGTCAACAAAAAAACCCAAAAAATATGGAATTGTAAATATGATTTAATTAATTTTTAAACTTTTATAGCTAAATATTTCATAATTTTCCAGGTGAAAAATATTTGTTTAAGAAAAACTAAGACACACTAGTATGAAGTTAAAATTGTGTGTGGTGCCATTTGTTATGAGATTTTATTAAAAAATAACTTTTTTTATTAATAACTCGCGGGGGAGGGAATTTCAACATATACATTATATAAAAACACCTGTATTTGAATGGAACATTGTGTGAAAATTTCAAAGCAATCGGTGAAGAACTTTTGGAGATTAGCTATTAGGAACAAACAAACTTACATTTTTATTTATATAGATTACTTTGTGATGAGCCTAAAACAATTCTAACCATCGAATTTGTTACTTAATGCTGATTGATGGCTTTCTCAACAAATCTACAAACTAAAAGAATAAACTTGAATATACGACTGTTGATAAGTTTTATATGAAGAGTTTTATAACAGTCAATGAGATTGCCATGAGGCAGGCCGAAACTATCCTCACTGTTTATTCATAATCCTGCCATTTGAAATTGGTCAGCTTTAGAAATACTAAATTGCAACTCTGAGACCCAGATGCAAAATTGAAAGAAGCCGTTGAGAGAGAGAACTAATGGGAGGAGCCTCATGTTGGCAAAGAAAAGGTAGATGCAAATCACCTGCAAACAGCTTGGAAAACACTTGCTAATAATTTTTGTGTAGAATGCCAAATTTTAAAAGAGCTCGTCTTATTTTAATAAAAACATCACTTTCAATAGGTTTCTGCTAATAATTTTATATTTAAAAACAATCCTTAAATAACAGTTAGTAAAAAAAAATTAGAAAATGTAGGAATGGAATTTATCATTCAATATGCAAGTAAAGATAATTAACTATGTTACATAGTTAATTATCAATTTTAAAAATGTATTGAAACATTAGTCAAACTATAGTATTAACATATAATTTCTTTAATTAATTCAATTGAATTATATGTACTAATAATTTTTAATATCAATGAAATGTTACAACAGTAATAATACAATTTGATTAGTAACTTTAAGTTTTTCTTGAGATATTAATCAAATTGTTGACTTATTAATAAGTTTAAAAATACGTAATTTACATATTTTTAAATATTAGATTTGTCAAAAGATTTCAGATTTTTTATAAATATTTTAATGGTGAACTTAATCTACTTCATCATAGTAAATTAAAGGAGAATAAATATTTTTAAAGTATGATATTCTATAAATTTCATTTTTAAGATTTATATTAACTAAATAATATGTTAAACATGATTTGATGAGGATTTATAGTTTGTCATTTGATTTATTTAATTCTTTATCATTTATTTTTAGACATTAATTACATATTATAACTAAATTATTTATTATTTTGTAAATTTGTGTATAATTTTCATTCATTCATTTAAAATAAATTGAGATAGTGATTCATCTATCTTTAAAAGTTTTGACTAAAAGTATTATTTATTTATTTATTCATGAAAAATAATTATTTTAAGATTTAAAAATTTAATTTCTTCAGATGATTTCTGTAATTGATGTTTCTATAAATTATATAATGGAATAAAAAATATTTCTGCTTATTATAAATATTAACTTAATGAGCATGATGAACCTTTAAAGTCTTTGTTTTCATATTTGAATATATTTTTAAGAAAATAAGTAAAAAGTTAAAATGATGATATATTGATGTAAATGTATATCTCTTTTAATTGTTAATAGGAGAAACATGATGCTAACACAATAAGAAAAATTATTTCTGGGTTCAAAGCTGCAGTGCAACAAGCAAGTGGAGAAGAAATGACAGATTATAAAATAGATGATGATGCAGGTAATGCATATAAATTACAAACACACACATAAATACAAAGAATCAACAGTCTAAAGCAGTGGTCCCCAACCCCAGGGCCGTGGACAAACACACACACAAATACAAAGAATCAACAGTCTAAAGCAGTGGTCCCCAACCCCCGGGCCACGGACCGGTACCGGTCTGTGGATCAAATGGTACTGGGCCGCCCAAGGAACATTAAATTATTTCCATTTTATTTACTATGGTATATTTGTCTTGGGTTTGTGTGACTTTTAATAGACGACGGAACAACAGAATAAACTGGACATAAGAAACACACTTCGGGTGTCATTGTCTCCTATAACCCCAGATGGAACTGTCTCGTTGCAAAGAAACAAGCTCATTGATTTTGCGTTCTAGTGAGTTAAAATGTTAAATCACATTATATTCATTTTTTGGTGTAACTGTATTTTATTTAGAAGGCATGTTTAAATACAGTTAAATTAAAATTATTAAATTAAATCAATCTAAAATATGAACAATCAACGTCCCCCCTCAGTGGGCTGCAGTAAAGTTGACCGGTCCACGGCGATAAAAATGTTGGGGACCGCTGGTCTAAAGTATATCTAAACCAAACATTACTGAATTTTTGGGCTATGATTCCATGGCTTAAATTTCACTTATTATTATAATTTAGAATTAGAGGTAAATAATGTTGATATCTCATATTAAACATAATAATTAGAAACAATTTATTAAATATTACCTTGTGTTTCTGGCTCCATATTATCTATACCAGTGTTTCTCAGTCTCGAATGAATCATTGCCCCCTTCAATAAAACCGTTATGTAGTATCACCCCCTTCACTTCAAAATTCTGATGCCAGAAGCCAAGGCTAACACCAAATTCGTACTGCATTGAATAGACTAGTGACTAGTATAATGTTTTTTGTTTAATTATTGTACGATATAACGAATAAAATATCTAATTATTCTTAATATAATGTTTTACTATATCGCCCAGAAAATTGTTTTTCGCCCTCCAAAATATAAATTGTTACTAATCGCCCCCTCAACATGGAAAAACGCCCACATGGGGGCGATATCGCTCCTGTTGAGAAACACTGATCTATACAATGCTTATTTTCAGGTAGCCAGCTGTTTCAATTTTTCACAAAGGAACATTTTTTTGTCTTGTTTTAGGACAAATAGGATGAAAACATCATGAAAAATTGAAACAGTTGGCTACCTGAAAATCATTTTATACAGATAATAGAAACAATTTAATTAATTAGTATATTGTTTTAGATATCTAAAAGAAAAAATAGATCTAGAGAGGAATTTAAATAATACAGTTCCTACATAGCAAATAGGTGTGTTATCAATCATATCATCTGGATTACTGCTTAAATTTTTTCTTGTTACAAATGTTTTAAATTACACTATTAATTAAGCAAATTATTTTAAATTAAATTTAGCAGAATCATGTACAGTACCTCTATTTTCATGTTACAGTAGTAACTTGTGATCACATGCATTAGTGATGATTTTCTGCCACCCACTAGTTTTTCATAGACAATTTTCACCAAATTGACTTACTTGGCTATACTCCATGATATTCTCTTGCTACAAGCTATTCATCTGTGTAAAAATTTCAGTTAAAAAATTTGTTCCACTTATTGCTTGCCCTAAAAAAACAACTGCAGAAATGTGCCATCTTGCAACTACATACAATTGTTTTGTGTGTTTTCATGCATATGTGATAATTTTCTATTCTAATGTCATGGATATTTGGCAGGTATGTGTGAAATAATGATATGTGCAGTCTGTAAGACACTACAACCTTGTGTGGAACGCCCGGTGAAAACTGTCCACTTGTCAGTGGATGGCTGGGTTATGCTTAATATCCTGAAGGGTCGGGATTCTGTTTGTCAGGTCGAGTGGAGGAGGAGAGAGGGGTCGTCGGTAAGGCATAGGCGATATGCGAGTAAATGACACCATTTAACAATGGAAACAATGGTTTATTAGATTAACCAAAAATTAACGATTACAAACTCTAACATAGAGAATCTTTAACTTGGTCCTAATACCAGAGAGAGAGTTCACATTAATTGTTTCATACCTCTAGGATAATTCCATGGAGAAGAAAATATTATTCCTTTTTTCCTTTGTAGATCGATGCACAAAGTTATAACAATCCAAATATCCTTTGAGACCTAAATCACTTTCGACCAGCCATAGATGAGAGACTCCTCCTGAAGCGGGGGAAGGAGCTTTTATAGCTTTGCTGTGGGAAAATTTGTCAGGTGATCAACTGTTATGGGAGATAAATGTTATTGGAGTAGGCATGGAGGTTAAAGTTGTTCCACGGACCATAACAAAATGATAAATTTGGACTTTAATTTAAGCTTTAAGGCTCGCAGTGAGAATGCCATTGTTTAGATGCGTAAATGTTTACATTAAAGAGGAGAGTTATAAGTTTCTATCGTTGTTGATGAGATATTCAATTCCATTTTTCTGACAATGGTATTTTCACAGTAAGGTGATAAATTTGTTTAAAATATAGAAAAGTTATATAATTTCTGATTCTTCTGAGAAATATCTCCGCCTTCTCATTATTTATTTCCTGCCAAATTTGCTTCACATTAGCCCATGCTATTGCAAAGTTTCAAGGTTTTCTATGGGAATACTTGAAAGGACCTTGTTCTAAACAAAGTAATATCTCATAAATTAAACAGTATAAGATGATGAAATTTGGCATGTACAGAGACAATATCTTACAGAATTTTTTAGAATTGTCAGATTTGAGGAGTGGCAATTATCATGGAATCACTGCCTTATACATGTACAGCCTTCTTTCTCTTAACTTTTTCCTATGTTTACATTGGGTCATTATTCCCATCTTTAATTTGTTTTTTCCATATTTAGATTATAATTATAGTATTAAATATGAGAATTTTTGTAATATACTATTTAACAGGATGATATTCACAAATGTTTGCAAATAAATCTATTTTAGCTTATTGATATTTAGCTTTTAAAGCTAAATATCAATAAGCTAAAATACTGGAATATAAAATTCTTTTATGTTTTGAAGTTATAGTTCTTTCATGTACAGTACTTAACAAACACATAGTAGTACATCAATAGTTTAGTAGTACATCAAGAAATAATGTCTTCAAATACTGTGCATGTGTTAGAAAATTTAAATGTTTATAGTAATGTATATTGATGACTGGAAAGTCCAGGCAATTAAAGATGTACCTTATTACAATGAATGATCTAAATTTAAGTATATTTAATAATCTTTCATGGTTAGTCAAATCTGGATGTGTGAGTGCTGCTTAACATCTGATACCTGCCCTGACTGAATCTGTAGTGAATGTAATAAAAAACCCATTTGTGAGTTATTAGTATCTATAACAGATACCTAGTATTTTTTTTTTATATCTTATTGTTAATATTTATACTTTTTTTTTATCATCATTTTAAATAAATTCACAAAAGATACAAAATATCTTCATGAATTCTTATTAGATTCTCTGAATATGTGATATAATTATTTACAGCATTCAATCAAATTATATATTTATGTCTCACCGAACTTGTGCCTGCTTTGCATAAATTTTTAAAATTGCCAAATCCAGTGATGTCAAAAAATGAAAATCAAGTGAATCCTACAAAATGTAAAAATTGGAAGAAAATTTCTAGTTCTGTGAAAGCATATTTGAATGATATTATTAAGGTATGTATTATATATATATTTTTAGACAAGTTTTTACACTTAGATTTGTAAATTAAGTTTTCACTAGATTACATTAGATCAAAATTTTAATTTGGACAAAGCAGTTTTTCCGTAATGAACTTATTGTCTCTATTTTATGGCATTTGAACATTAAAAATCATAAAAAAAAATTAATTAATCTAAAAAAGAGTATTCAAAATTTTAAAAAAATATTTAATATTTATATGACAATGGCACAGGATTGGGAAACACTAATATAACTGATTTTGAGAGAATCATAGTATGCACAAAACCTGTTATTTTTCATACAATTATATATAAAATTACATTATCATTATCTGTTGAACAATATTTGTGATTTCCAAGATTTCTCTAAATCATTTTTGTAATCAATCTATAAAATATTATTTAATGAAGTAAAAAATGTTTCATTACTTTTCTGTTAATGGTATGTACAGCAACAGGTAAGATTCAAGAAGGTGGTGCAAAACCGCTCATTCTGAATGAGGAGTTTTGCCCCACTACCAGAATTGTTGACCCTTTGTGAGATATTTGCCTCCAAAGGTCGTTTTTAACATGTATCAGCATATTACCTATTCTACATGCTTTGCATGTAGTAAAGTGCAAGACTATATGCGAAGCATGTAGTCTTGTGCTTTGCTCGCTATCTCTTGCACCTCAGCACCCAGGTGGAAGCAAGTCCCACATCCCCTAAAACTCTATAACATCAAGTACTCCACAAACAGTCATGTAGGCTACTCAAAACCGGCACAGTCTCGTGGGATAAATAGTTAAATGCAATAGTCTTAGCGGAATGATGTGGACAATAGTATCACTCATCATATGAAAGTTACAACTGGCATTCTATTAACAGAAAACAATGATTCTATATAGTACAGTTTATGTAATAAAACAATTTTTATTGGTATTTTTTTGTAAAAATTATTCTTGAATCAGTGTAATAATGATGATAGTAATGTTCTTCTGAAGCACTTGAAATTTAATAAAGTATCCTTTCTCATATTAAAGTCCGACTATATGTGTAAGATGTAGATGTTATTTTCACAGGTTGTTTGGTTTTGTTATTATAAATTATGTAATAATTTTGAGTTAGTTAGGAAATTAACAAAACTNCAAAATGGCAGACTGAAACTTGCTATCACTGTTACTAACATTGCTGTTGCAAATACCTTGATTCAGAGTAACCAGTACATCACTTCTGATGAAGTTACTGACTGTTTGCAGATTAGCCATGACTCAGTATATTCATTAATGCACAATGTACTTAACTACAGAAATCAGACAATGACATGCAAGAGAGGGTCGTGGAATGGGTTCACAAGCAACCAAGCTGTTTTTATGAGAAGAGGATAAAAAAAAATCTTGTGAAGCTGGAGGATACTTGCCTTACCTGCAGGGAAATATTTTTAAAAAATTAAATGATGTGCATAAAAAATAATTCTGGTTTCTTTTTGATTGAACCAAGTAATTTTTTAGTTGAAAATATTGAATGATTATGCAAAAATTAAATTAGATATAAATGAAATTTAATAAACTTACAGGAAACCATTCAGACTATTTATAATTGGCAGTACATTCATTGCTTAAATAACTAACAAATTTATTATATAATTTGGATTACAGTTTTTATTTAATATATGAGTTAAACAGTTGGAATTATGAGATACATATAAGCTATAATTTAACTACAATCTGTTAAAGGTCTGTGATGATGTCAAATCAGAGAAATTCATTTTCACAACTCGTCTTTAACACCCTTGTTTGTTGGTGTTAGAGACATAAAGACAAACACAGTCTAATACTGTATAATTATTTCATTCTAATTACACTGCAGTTTGAAAAAATTGTAGACCAATAAATTCCCACTGTTGTTTGTCTGTGCTCTTTTAATCTCGAGAATGGAGTTAGATAGATGAAAGCTGAGACCAGATATGTAAAGGTTAGGGGCAGAAGGTCCTGATTAACTATATACAAACTTCCAATGCAAGTCAGAAGTCATGTTATTCCAATTAAAAAGTTTTTCCCTGAAAGGAGTTAGAGACTGGCATGACTCTATTGCTAACAGAAAAGTACAATGTACAGGAGCAAGATACTACAGTGCTAATTTGTGATGGAGAGTATATATTTTAAATTAAATAAATTAAAAATATGATTAAAAATTGCAGCTTGGCATTGTGATGTCACAATAAATAATTGCTCGTTGAAGCTGTTATTAAATCAGTTTCCAAAATTTGTTAAATACTCAAACAAACATATATGCTATTTAGATGAAAGTAACATTTTGTTTTTATGCCAACAGACTTTGATAATAATGGACAGTGCAGAAAATACTATTAATCACATAAAAACTATTGCTAATTTATGTATACATGCATGCTGACGGACTATAAATATTAATAAATTATGTACAAAAGAAAGGACTATTTGCAATATATCCAAAGTAAATTTAATGATTAGAATTAATAAATAAGTAGTTATGTATAATTTGGATTCATGGTACATATATTCTGTGTTTGAATTAAAGTTTAATTTAGTATTTATTAAATTATTAAAGTATTGCAGCAATAATTTTGTGAACAGAAATGTTCTTAATTGATGAAATAAGTTGACGCATAAGTCGCATTATGATTTCAAATTCTGCATGAAATTAGCATAACCTAGTACAGTTTTTAACAATGTGTGATTTGAATGCATCGGATTTGAGCATTATCATGTTACTGCATTCAATGCTGATTTTGTAATATTTACCTATTTTTAATGATATTTATTACTATCTTTGCATTATTAAAATAACAGTACTTACATTTTACTTTTCCGGCTGTTATGTATATACATAATAGGAATGTATTGGAATTGTGTCAAATTTGACCCTCCGAGTTTTTGCAAATCTCTACGTTTTGAGATCCCTGAACCCCAAAAAAAGTAAAAAAAGCGGAAAAGTATTCCGTGTGTGTTTGTGTATGTTTCGTTTAGTATGTATAGATGGGATAAAGATTAAGAAACGAGATTTGACAAGGTAGGTTGGGTTAAGGAGCATTAATGCTGTTAAATTTTGATGATTAAAAACATTATTTAAAAGCTTGTTAAATTATTCATTGTAAATTATCACAAAATTTATTTAAATGTTAAAAAANATTTCATTCTAATTACACTGCAGTTTGAAAAAATTGTAGACCAATAAATTCCCACTGTTGTTTGTCTGTGCTCTTTTAATCTCGAGAATGGAGTTAGATAGATGAAAGCTGAGACCAGATATGTAAAGGTTAGGGGCAGAAGGTCCTGATTAACTATATACAAACTTCCAATGCAAGTCAGAAGTCATGTTATTCCAATTAAAAAGTTTTTCCCTGAAAGGAGTTAGAGACTGGCATGACTCTATTGCTAACAGAAAAGTACAATGTACAGGAGCAAGATACTACAGTGCTAATTTGTGATGGAGAGTATATATTTTAAATTAAATAAATTAAAAATATGATTAAAAATTGCAGCTTGGCATTGTGATGTCACAATAAATAATTGCTCGTTGAAGCTGTTATTAAATCAGTTTCCAAAATTTGTTAAATACTCAAACAAACATATATGCTATTTAGATGAAAGTAACATTTTGTTTTTATGCCAACAGACTTTGATAATAATGGACAGTGCAGAAAATACTATTAATCACATAAAAACTATTGCTAATTTATGTATACATGCATGCTGACGGACTATAAATATTAATAAATTATGTACAAAAGAAAGGACTATTTGCAATATATCCAAAGTAAATTTAATGATTAGAATTAATAAATAAGTAGTTATGTATAATTTGGATTCATGGTACATATATTCTGTGTTTGAATTAAAGTTTAATTTAGTATTTATTAAATTATTAAAGTATTGCAGCAATAATTTTGTGAACAGAAATGTTCTTAATTGATGAAATAAGTTGACGCATAAGTCGCATTATGATTTCAAATTCTGCATGAAATTAGCATAACCTAGTACAGTTTTTAACAATGTGTGATTTGAATGCATCAGATTTGAGCATTATCATGTTACTGCATTCAATGCTGATTTTGTAATATTTACCTATTTTTAATGATATTTATTACTATTATTGATTTATTTTTTGTTAATTTTTCATTAAATAAATAATTAAAATTAGTATATATAATGAACTTTCTTTTTAGTCTTGATAATATTTAATTAAAATTTTTTGATAACATTTACAACAATTAAAAAATTATTTCTTATAACGTAATATTAAATATATCATATTAATTGAATGATAGTACCATGCACATATAATATTTTGTCTTCACTTGAATGAATATTACCTGACTTATTTATTACATAAAAAATTACTAACAATAGTATTTCCTAAATAAACTAACATAATAAACTAACATGAAAATTTTAAAGTTTTATTTAATCATTTACAAGTGTAATTTGATACTCTTTATGTAAAGAATTGAAAATATATATTTTAGTTTTTGTATAATCTAAAAGATAATAACAATCATTAAAAAAATACAAATGTCTCTATTCTTCACATGGTAAAAGTGTAGAGCAGTGATTTCCAAACTTTTTTGAGCAACTGCCCCTTGGTTCCATAAAGTTATACCCAATGCCCCCTAACCCATTTTCCCTTGTGTAAGAAAGGTTTGGAAATATTGTTAGAAAAATCTTTCTATGAATGTAGAAAAGTTTTTCTAACAAGACTTTGTGTCCTTCCAGTTGTTGAGAACGATGTACTTACTGCACATTGTTCTCAACAGCTGGAAACTGGTCTTCTTACCCATTTTAACAATAGAAAGGGAAAGGTTTTCAATGACTTCAACCTTTACCTATGGTCACTGTTCAGTATCCAGCCTCCAGTGCCCCCTGCTGCTGCTTCCTTCTTTTCACCCCTAGATTTACACCACCCATAGGGGGTAGTAGCACCCACTTTGGAAACCACTGGTGTAGTATTTTGTTAAATCTCTTATTTTAAAAAGATATAATTCTATGAATAGTCTATGCTTTAATGAATTACCTTGAACATTTATTCATAAAATGTAATTTTTCTTCTAGCAAATGTATATGGATTATGTAAAAAACTGTAAATTTACAAGCAAAACATTATGGCCTTCAATCAATTTTATGAAAAGATCATTGGTGGAGTTATATTCCTTAAATCTTTCAGTAGCTTATCAACATGGTTTTGTGTTCATCCGTCAGTTGAGTATACATTTACGCAATGCAGTCACAATAAAGAAAAAGGTAAATCAAATAGGAATATCTAATTCTTGGTTCAGTCAAAAATAAACCAGAATTATTTTGTTAAAAATGAAGCATTTGCACTGGGAAAACAGTATTTGGTTGGTATATACAAGCTTTGGCTATTAATATTTTGCATATGCTAGCAACATGGAGAATCTACTCCAGAAAAGGGATTCACCAATGTCAACTCATCCAAGAAGGGACAGCATTCAGTCATTGAATTTTTGATGTTACAGAAAGTTATCATAAACCCAGTGATCCATTGTCGAATAGTTATTCGACAATGGATCACTGGATTTATGATAACTTTCTCTGGGTTTATGACAAGAATGCATTGTTAAAACTCATTCTGGTCATAAACAGTCCTTGTATGGTCAAAAGATTTCATGTAGTATGACAGTCAGTACTGTATAATTCACAAAATGGCAGACTGAAACTTGCTATCACTGTTACTAACATTGCTGTTGCAAATACCTTGATTCAGAGTAACCAGTACATCACTTCTGATGAAGTTACTGACTGTTTGCAGATTAGCCATGACTCAGTATATTCATTAATGCACAATGTACTTAACTACAGAAATCAGACAATGACATGCAAGAGAGGGTCGTGGAATGGGTTCACAAGCAACCAAGCTGTTTTTATGAGAAGAGGATAAAAAAAAATCTTGTGAAGCTGGAGGATACTTGCCTTACCTGCAGGGAAATATTTTTAAAAAATTAAATGATGTGCATAAAAAATAATTCTGGTTTCTTTTTGATTGAACCAAGTAATTTTTTAGTTGAAAATATTGAATGATTATGCAAAAATTAAATTAGATATAAATTAAATTTAATAAACTTACAGGAAACCATTCAGACTATTTATAATTGGCAGTACATTCATTGCTTGTTGTTTTGGATGAGGTTGTTATCAACACTAAATCAAAGTGATCCTCTAAAAAGTTTAATCTATCCTTTAGTACAAACAACTATTGGAACAATAAAGTAAGTAATTTATTAACCAATAGCATTTTCTTTACTTGTCTTGGATGAAAATTTCATATATTTTAAATTGTAAAAATGTTCTATATTAACAAAATATTTTCATTGACAAAAAAGTTACACACTTAGGAGGCATTGGAACAGTGGCGTAGCATGGGTGTTAGCCGCCCGGGGCGGAGGAAAATTTTGCCCCCCCCATTTAGGTATCTCAATTTAAAAGACTAAAATTCAGTTTCGTCACAGAATAAGTAATGAAAAATTCCGTGCTCATTTCAATTGGTCCGAATTGTAGGTGCAACAAAAATATGAAATAAAATGGTTCAAATTTTTACAAGATATTATTATTATTTATTGTGAAATTTTGCCGCCCCCTAAAAGTGCCACCCCTGCCGCCCCCACTATGCTACACCACTGCATTGGAATCAAATGAAACTTTATTAGCATAAATGTAATAATGGTAGTAATAAGTGATTACAATATCATAGCAAGAAGGCAATTTCATGTGGAAAAACAGTATACTTTAAATGAACCTTTAATGTTGTAAGATTGCTTGGATACATGCAATAAAACAGTTGGACATGGAGGCATACAACTACTGTATGTTGTCTTGTGACAGATTTACCCATAGATGTTGCAACTACTGCTTCATATCCCTTGTATTTGAAGATAGCTGAAGCTAATATTTCATCTGGTCACACAAATATTCAATGAGTGGTAGGCTAATCTGAGACTAGATACACCAAGGAAGTGTGACAATGTGACAGACATTTCTGGGAAACTCTAGCTGTGTGTGACCATTTTCCAGCAAGATAGTTCTTGCTGGAAAGTGGATATTTGCAGTTCTGCCATGAAATGTAGCATGCAAGGGTGCAGGATTTCCTGAATACAACAGTATTCAGAGAAGAATACTGCTGTGCCATCAATGTCCCTTGCACTACTACTAGGGATGACCAACTGTCATACAAGATGGTTTCCAGTCTAGAACATCAGCATTGGGGCAGTATCAAAGACCTTCAAACAACAGGTACATTGAAAATTCTGAACATAGTAAGCTTCTGTTTGATTTTTTTAATTGAATATTGATATAGTTTTAACCTTTGTCAAGTGCACAACAATTTTTTCGACGAGCAAGTGCATGTTGTACTTTTTACAACACTGAATTTTCTTATTTTATTTTGTTAATTTGGTATGTTAATATGAATTTATGTTTTTTAAAATATTTTTCTATATTGTTTTTCAATTAAGACATCTATTCTATGAATTAAGCATCTATTTTATAAACACATACTGCACAAAATTTGTTTTATCTGTAAACAACAAGCAATCAGTCTCTTACATTTCTCACATGTTATTGAGGCAGAAGAACTTTTCTTATATCCACACTTGAAACACATACCACATTTTTTTTTTATATACTTTCATCTTCCAAGTCATCCTACTCTTTCATTTGGCATTTCTCAGGACAATATTTTTGAAGAAAGACATGAAAGTTCTAATCTTAAAATAAGATGCTCTTTTATTAGCTATATAAGCAAGTTTTTTTAGAAACATTGTTCTACTTACTTGATTGTTCATTACAAAAATTATTCTTGCATTTATTCCCACAATATTTGTAATTACAAAAAAAGAACAGTACATTTGTGTTATGTATTCATTGTACAATGTTGATGTATTTATTAGTACAGTCGACCCCCCTATAACACGGTAGATATGATCTGTTCTTTATGAATCAATTTTGTACAAGTCCTTGCCAATCACAGCCTGACACATGTGAAGTTTACGGACTACGGCTGTTTGAAAGGTTTTCTTCCATAAAATTAATCGATTCTAGACTAATTCGACTCAACATTTCCAAAATATGTATAATTTTTTTGGGAACAATCCGTATAAACTATGCTATAAACAAAAAATTGTAGGATTACTTATCGAGTGTGCACCGTTCGACGTTGCCATTGCTCAAGCTTGTTTTCGTCGCAGAGCAGCGCACCAAATGGCGGGCGATTTTTGATAAGTTATTTTTCTGCGAAAACTTCGTTGAACTTTGGAGACATCATTAATATAAATAATTTTTATGGCCATTGAATAAGAAATGTTCCTTTCACAAGAAATGTATAAAATTAGACTGTATTAGTGCTGTGTTAGACTTATGATACCTAATTTACATACTGTACAGACGATAGTAAACAACTTACTCACCTAAACTCTCCATAGCGTGGCGCTGGACAGCGGAAAGTATATATATAATTATAATAAAGTTACAATAAATTAAGTTAATATATAATTATATGTACAGTACCTAATTTATATATAATTTATATATAATACTGTACAGATGATAGTAAACTCAATTTACCCTAAATTCTCCGTAGCGTGGTACTGGACGGCGGAAAGTAGTTCGGCTGCCCAATGATGTTTTACCGAATTATAGGAGTTTTTTTTACCAGGTTTGTACGGATACCGTCGCAATTTTTTCGCTGTCTTATAGGAATCGTAATTATAGGAACCCGTGTTATAAGGGGGTCTACTGTACAGTCTTATCTATTATGTTCGTATCCAAAAATTTGAAAAAAGATTTAGCTTCTGACAAAATATTTCCTGGGCCAAGGGGTGAATATACATCCTTACAATATTTTTTGTATAATTTTGGTCATTTTCAAATTCAGCTTTTTATTCCACTTTGTACTGTTGTCTCTAAGTAAACAGAACTGCAATCATTGTATTCAATATCATCTTAAAGTTAAGGCACTCTGTTGGCATGACCTGGCATGCAATTGGACCACAATTGTAATCACTTACATACTTGCCTGAGACACAGCTATATGCTGAGTTTTGCAGTAATTCAACAATTTTATCTGGTGCATATCATTTTTATTAATGAGTATATGTAGATACATCATTTTCAATTCAACATAATATGAAATTTATTATGCTATGAAATTCTTTATTATTTATTATATGAAATACTATACAGTGAAACTAAACTGTATAATTGACTTTCCTTGACAGTTTGATTCCAACACCCAAATATATTCCTCTTCGTTTTCATCTTGTCAAAGGTTTGATGCTTCTGTCTAAGGATACAGATACTTTTATTCCTGTTTTGCCATTTATATATGAGGTAATTATTTTCTTAATAATTATTTATTAAATATATTTATATATATAAGCTAAATATTTTCCATTTTTTAGACTTTGAATATTGTGAATTTCAAAAAGAAACATACTTCACTCAGTATGAAACCAATGGAATTTGACTGTGCTTTAAAACTGTCAAAATCTCAACTGCAAGAAAATGGCTTTAAAGATAAAGTTGTTGAGCTAGTTTATGATACAATGCTGGAATATTTACAGTCTCAGTCTCATACTATTGGTTTTCCAGAGTTAGTATTACCAACTGTTGTTCATGTAAGTGTTTTATCAAAAATATTTGTTTCTTGAAATTATTATAATTTATTATATTCCTGCAATTTATAATCAATTACAGTTTGAAGTCTTAATGATACCTAAAATCTCTTAAACTTTTTTGACTTCTGTATAATTATAAAACAGGATCACGACAGCTTTAGAATTTTATTTCAGTGGTTATATTATATGGGTTGATAAAGTTTCTATTTTACAAAATTAGTTTGGAAAGAGGTATAATAATGTGACTAGTTTTAAAAAGTAGTAAAAATTATTTATTTTAGTCATACTTACTCATGTTTCAATATAATCACCATTTTCCCAAATGCATTCTGTACATGAAAAATTTTCTGGTTTTTCCTTGATCTAAATCCTTAAAACATCTTGAAATTTGGCATCTGGTGAAAAGCATGAACCAAATTTTAGATTCAAAACTTTTCCGTTTCAAAAGTCAGGTTGAAAATTTTTTTTAGATTGAAAAGTAATGGTTTACACAAAATATATAGCAAGAGGAAAAATGGCCAACTTGGTAAAGTATTACTAAACCATACAAGTACTCAAAGCACATATTAATAAAGTAAGGCCAGAATAAAACCATCTTACATCATGATAACCAAGATATCACTACAGTAAGGAAACAATAATACTTAAGAATCAGAAGTTACAGGCTATTCCAACTCTGTTTATGGTCCAGAACTGGTAGGTCCAAAATTAAAGACAGTGTTTAAAGGTAAGTCTTTTTTACCAATTGCTAAAATTCAAACTATTTCGTAGAAATGGATCAAGAGAAAAAATGCAAACTGGATTGCTTGGGAAAATTTATTTTAAATGGTGGTTATATTAAAAACTGAATATGTTTGATAAAAATAAATTATTTTTACTGTTTAAATTAGTTTTATTTTAAAATTTACTACATTTGCTTCCCTACTTATGAACAGGTTTCTAAAGGCTAAACATTAAGTTAATCCTTTGAGGACTAACTATGCATGCCTGACCTTGAATAATTCCTGGTAGTGTGTGAGGGAAAATTTAACAGTTTTGGCGAACTGTACTGACCACCGGATTAGAATCAAAAAACCATTTGATTTTCCTGCACAGTATCAGACTGCGCAGGCCAACCTTAACATGTGTGCCGTTGTGTCGTTCAGTTGTGAGACCGCCGAGTAGTTAGAACAATGTCTTGTGAATGTTTGAAAGAATTATTTTCTATAACCTTATTAATTTTTATTATTTATAACCTAAAAAATTAATTTTTCAGGTTATAAATTATTTTCAGATAAAAAATTTCTTGAGTAAATTAAAATTATAAATAATTTAAATATTTAGAAAACTTCTCAATTCATTTCTTCCGTTTTCATAAAACATCTTGATACTCTATATCAGCGTTTCTCAAAGTGGGCGATAACGCCCCCTTGTGGGCGCTGGAGGCTTTCAGGGGGGCAGTAGAAGGCTCAAAGAGAATTGGGGGGCGTTAAGGAAATATAGAGGGGCGACGGCAGACAAATTCTATATATAAAAATTCGACTGAATATATATAAAATGTTGACATTTTATATATTTTTTATTTTTTATTGAAGGTCACAACTTGAATATTTCTAACACATTGACTTTTATTTTAGCTCAGCGTTTCTCAAAGTAAGCAATAACGCCCCCTTCTGGCGCGATGAATAGATCTATGATAGAGGCAGGGTATTGAACGGTGACCAAAGGCAAAATTGGGGCTGATAAGAGGAAACATTGCGTTTAATGGTTTCCAGATGATGAGAACAATGTACAGTAAGGGCACAAAGTGTGAGATTCATAGAAAAGTTTTCCTAAGA